TCTCTCTCTCTCTCTCTCTCTCTCTCTCTCTCTCTCTCTCTCTCTCTCTCTCTCTCTCTCTCTCTCTCTCTCTCCAGAGTATACACGCATCACTGTTGCTGCTGTTTCTTTTTTTTTCCGCACATCTGCAATCCAATGTTGTCGGGTGCTGCTGTGGGCTGGCTCTCAGGCAACAGAAAGTCAAGAGCAGATCTGGGCTTTCAGCCAAGATGAAGCTGGTTGGGAGTTACGCTTGTAGTGCTATATATGGCATTATTGTACAGGCTGGCGATGAGATGTAACTTCTCATCCCGGTCATCTTGACTCGGCTTGATATAATGTCGAAGCAGGTGCTGTACTGCCCGGTTCATATGTTCAGCTTGGCCATTTGACTTAGGGTGGTTCCCTAATGTCATATGAGGTTGGGTTCCCATCTGTTGGGCTGTGTTTTGCCACAGTTCGCTCATGAATCTAAGATCACAGTCGCTGACAATAGACTTGGGAAGTCCGAAGTCACACACCCAGTTATCCATAAATAGCTTTATTACTTAGTCAGTCATGGCGGTTTTAGGCATGGCAATCAGTGTAGCGTACTTACTAAATATGTCCATAATAACGAAGTGTGCTGCTTGCTGCTCTTGCTGGTCGCAAGAGTGTCCACGAAGTCCATGGAGACGCTCTGACCAGGGCCAGCAGGAATAGGCAAGGGCGTGATAAGCCCAAGCGGTGTCTGTGTTCTTGGTTTGTCACGCTGACAAACCTGGCATGTCTCTACATACTTATTCGCGTCATCCATCATCGTGGGCCACCAGAAATGCTGTACAAGATTTACTGGTGTTTTCTTGAACCCAAAATGCCTGGTTGCGTCATGACACTCACCTAAAAATAAACTGCGCAAAGACTCTAGACAGCACACACAATCTTTTATTCCCTTCCTTCTCGAGGAACAACAAGCCATTGACCAGCACAAACTCGTCAGTTGTGGCCTTGTCTTTGGCCTTGAGTTTGCACATGATCTCAAACATGATGGGCCTCGGGATAGGCATCCACTATGGATTTAGTGACATCATCCGATATACTGAACTCGGTCACTAACGCACCCAGATAGTCTGCCCTCCTGGACACTGCATCCGCCACCCTGTTATGCTCTCCCTTGAGGTGGTCCAGTTTAAAGTCTTACATATCTCTAACTTCAAACCATCTCTTCAGAGCGTCTGAGAGAGCAGGTTGCTTTTTTATCCAGCGAAGAGTCTCATGGTTAGATCTGACATAGAAAAATCTGCCAAGGAGGTAGTGTATCCAATGAATCAATGCTTTATATAGGGCGTAGACCTCCCTCTCACAGGTGGACTTTGCTCATGTATTCAATCGGCCTCAACTTTTTCCCCTCCTGTTGTGCAAGGACCGCGCCAATGCCATATTGACTGGCATCTGTTGTCACGACGACACGCTTCTCGGGATGGGGAAGCTTCAAGACTTCATGGTGCCCGAGGGCATACTCTTGGTGCAGATTTGGGGAGTAGCCTACCCTAGATCGTGAGGAGGTGGGTGGGTTTTGCGTGGTCTTGGACCCCTGCCGCATAGGTGGTAGGGTAGTTCTACTGGTTTGCAAAAACAGCATCGTGGTGGGAGTTGGTGCAGATTGGGGGAGTAGCTTACCCTAGATCACGAGGAGGTGGGTGGGTCTTGTGGGGTCTTTGACCCATGTCGCGCAGGTGGTAGGGTAATTATATTGGCTTGCAAAAACAGTTACTTTTGGTAA